GTTCGGCCTTTATACATATATATATAAACGGAGAGGGATTGCACTCAGGTCTCTCTTTCCGCTTGTTATCCCGGGCGATAACCTGGGCGGACTGGATAGAGAATGGTATCTAACACTGACTACCAATAAAAAAGGAAGGTACCGAAACAAAGCAACTCTTTTGTCGAGGATTGTGTGCTTCGTCGAGTATAGTGCTATCCTAGGAGAAAGAGCCCTTTCATTCGTGCCGCCGACTCTCAGGACCTCCCAGGATCCGGCATCAAGTTAGTGAAGGCGGCGATGGCAGCAACGGCTGTTACGAGAAGAGGGGTATAAGGGAAACAGCCGGGCGGATGAGTTGGGAGCTATCTCCGGCGGGGACTTTTTCGGCCGGGACGTTTAGGCAGAGAGAACCTGACAGGGGCAGGAGAGGCTGAGAAAGGGCCTAAGGGAGGAGGCGGGGCTTTTGTGCCGCCCTTTCAAGAGAGAGGGCGGTCGAGGCGAGTCGGGTCGAGCACAGTGAGAGCGGCTGCAACTGCTCCACATGCAAGAATAGAGACAGCACATAGTACACGATGCTGACGGTAGCAGTAAAAGGCAAGAGTAAAAACGGGTAAAACTTCAAAGGGTGTCACACGACGTACAGGTATATATATATATCTATATATACGACGATATGAATACAATCTGTGCAGATACTCCTTTCATCGCTGTCATTTCTTTCATCCACGTTCCCTGATAGGCAACATGAATGAAAAAGGGGAAAGCTAAACCGTTCGTGCCCGGTAGTAGCAAAGCTGTAGCTGGAAGTATTGATCCTTCTGATGTTCCTGAAGTGGTAAAGATATACTTGAATACGGATATTACGGATGACTCTTTAAGCGTTAATCGGGAGAGGTTGCGACCATTTGATGATAACGGCAATGTTAATGTTGGCGCTGCCCTTATTTTCAGTTTGGTAGAACTGGCGAGAGAGAAAACATTAAGGAGCGTTGTGTGCATATATTGCAATGCATTTTCTTACACCACGCTGTAAAAGTATACATAGAGATACATATATGATATTACAAGATTATTCGAAGCCTTGAAGAAGGCTGAGGATGACAACGAAAACTGACCCAGGGAAAAAAACTCTGAAAAGAGACTAATGGCGTTAGAAATGAACTTATATAACATATATATGTATATATATATATAGTTACCGGGTCTGTCGCACGACCCATCGTCAGAATTGGCAGTGCTTGAAGGTGGCGGCGGCGGCGGCGAATGCCCGACGTTCCCGGCGCTGAGACCCAGCTGTTCGCTGACCTCGGCATGGTCGTGCTGGTGTACATAATCAAAAATGGTTGAGCCAGTCATCTCGACTTGGGATAGACCGAGATAAATTGAAACAGTCTCTGAGATATAAAGAAAGCGTCCGTCAGCAGCTAGCACGAATGCGAAACCGTCGAGCGATTGCAGAATATGCGTGCCCTGGTGCTGCTCGAACACTTCCGTTGCTACCGACCGCGACGGTCGAAGCGGACTCGCTAAAACAATAAACAAGTCACAAAGTTTGACGTTAATATTACACACGAATACACATGGTCCCACAGATACCGCACTACTACATACACTGCAGGCGCCTCTTGTGGCTCAGGACCTGTGCTCTAATCACCTCAGCTAATAATACCTCACCTCCGAAATTGACCCATGAGAAGGTGATCGCAAATGCGGAAGGGGATCGAACTACACTACTTGTATATAAGCAGTATAAGAACGAGTAAAATATACGCGCATCTTCGATATATATGTTGATTTTGGTGGGTACAGGCCTTTTATGTACTTCTATTCTAAGTGATCGTTTTAGAGTAAGAGTAAGACATATCGCACAGATCGGTAGAGGACACGACGAATGTTGGCTGCCACGAACCTTCCCTTTATGCAGTACTAGAATTTGCTGCGATTGAAGTAAAATACAGTAGACCCTTTAATATTGTAAGGAATAACCCAACAATAATTGTGTTTATACTAGTACAATATTTAGACCCAGTTGCTGGTTCAAGAACAGCATGTCCTTTACAGACCTGAAAGTGACTGAAAAGTGTGCACACGCACAATGGACCATCGAATAAGAGGATTCGCTGAGCTAAAGAAAGAGGATGATGCTACTGCTGTCGTGCATTGAACGGACAACCAGTCAGTCGCTTGCGGCTTTTGGCGTCCTGGGAAATAGTGCAAAGACTGTTTCAGTATAGGTACTCTATATTACTTCTGATGGGTAGAGTACAGGCAATAAGCGGCAGTGGCCTACAAAATATGGAGATTTTTGTTTAGATCCGATCGAGTAAGGTCTTGTTATTCTTGCGGCCGGTGGCTGCATAGCATTTCAAGATCGTTCGCTTGATCCTGTTTTCGTGAAGAGGGATGAAGCGCCAAGCTGAGAAGTGGCAAAGAAGAGCGCCGGAGCTACGACAGATAATGAAAAGGGAAAAATAGATCAACTAGACTTTTGGAGGGTTATCGAGAGGAGGGCATATGTGGCGGACGTATGTAGTCCTGGTAGTGGCATTGCAGCTCAAATCGGCTGGCCTCTACTAGTAGTCGTAGTCGTCGTAGTAGTAGTAAAGATGTCAGGCGGATCAAAAGCGTCGGCGCTCGGTCGGTCTCTAGAGACCTCACAGTACTAGAGCATCTCAAGAGCCCACTGAAAGAAAAAAAGATTTGGCCTAGTACTATCAGGAAAACGCGAAAAAGAAGGCCGAATCCCGCAAAGTAGTAACCTGGCAGGCGACCAGCTACCGAAAGCGGGCGTAAGTATGTTGCCAACTTTGTGCTGTAAGATCTTTCGACGAACGACGGTGGCAGGCAAGGGGATGAGGGCAAGCAAGGGAGTGCAGTGACGATGCGCGAGGGCAATCGCGGTGTTCACTGACCACTGCTGGCGTACGAGTAGCGTGCAATAGCATAGGCGATGTGACACGACCCTCACGCCTGGGGGCTCTTCGCTTGCCCGGTAGCAGAATGCACTACGACGCCGTCTGATCGCTGATGGCTGATTTTCGATAACCAAGCCACCAACCACGATGGATCGCGGTTAGATATCCCAGGGGAGCCAAAGAACTAAAATAGGTACGAGTATACTCGTACGCACGAGAACATTCATACTGGTCTCAGTGGGGAACTGAGAACGAGCGCGACAAAAACATCCAAGTCGGCGTAACAGAAACATAAGAAATAGAGTAAATAATGACGAATGAGCAAACAATTATTTTGATGAGCGATCTATATTTTTTACATTTACAAGACACTTATATAACTATTATAAAGGGGCGCATTAATCATTGTTAGAAACAAAATTTCCACGAATCTGCGCAGTAGAATTTGCGCCGTGAAAACGCTTCATATATAGGTCTTTAGCTATATGACACTTATGTGGTTTAACTGAAACACCAAATGACACACCTTCGTATGCTATAACGAATGTACGCTGACATCAGCACTGCAAGCATCAGCATATCTCTGCATCGTAGTTGCTCCAAGGTGGCCAACATGGTAACGGTGCTTTTGGTGGTATTTTTTGTCCTGACAGGCTGCGAGGACACACCGTTATGTTTTCACACTTTATGTTGCTACTCGACGATCGTGTGCAACAGGAAGTTACCTCGTATAGCCGCCGCTGATTTGAGCATGTAGTATAGCTGCAGGAAAGCGATCAGCTTTTTCAAGATTAGTTAGCTTCTTCAAGAAGGATAACTCACAGCTACTCGATTAAGGTCGGCCGGCGCCCAACAACATAACCAGCAACGATTGCGAAAAGCTGCAAGACGACGTTTGAAACGAAAGCCTCCAAACGAAGCCTTCGAATCTGGTGGTGCTGCCGTGGGCTACGAGGTTAAGAAAGAATCGACTATGATCGGCTGAACAGCGGATAGTGAGGAACCGTGACCGCCTGTCTGCTGTATTGCTCCAATTCTGGTTGAGCAGGGACGTCCGCTTGATTAGTGGGTAGAAGGCAGGAAAGCACGCAGGCAAGCGAGCGAACAGCGGGTGTGTGCACATTGGACGGCCAGAGGACCGTAACACATAGGGAAAGTGTGCAGTCGAGTGGAGTTGATAAAGTGACGAGAGATGGCCAAACCGAGCTATGTTGCCACTAGTTCACCGGCGAACAGGGGTCAGGAAAGGGACTCCAAGGAAATGAACTGGGAGGCAGAATCATGGAGCTCCAGCTAAGCAGTCACCCCCTCCCCCCACCCACAGACACACTTCTACATTCTCTAGTTTTGCTCAGTCCTCCGGGCGATTTTCCCCTTAAAACCCATGCAAATGGCGCAATAATCATAGGTTATTTAGCATGTAGGTGTTTTTTTCAAAAAAAAAAAGACGAAAATAGTAGTGAAAAGGTGAAAATTTGTAAAAGTAGCGTACAATGTCTCGGTTGGAATCATCTAACGATTTATGACACGCAAAAACACTAGTGTGCTTCATCGAGAAGAACTAAATTACACACACACAACGCAGTATACTGAAACCTAACTTTCATTCAATATACGAACAAACCATGACTTGGGAAATATGTATCTGAAAGCTATCGTAGAGAAAACTACATCAGATACAACTGGTTTAAATTTTACATCACGACAGTCAGATTAATAACTTAAACACATTTCAAAGCCAATGGCGTGTAGTAAATACTATAATGTAAAAAAAAAAATCGTAACTATACACTTAAATTATAAGTTGTTAGTAAAGAAGGAGATGCTGGCTGCTTTCCTCTTGCCATACTTTTACGCGTGGTAGAGCACGCAAAAGGTATTAAATCGTCCCAGGTCCATGGCGATGGTAAAGAAGAGCAACTGGGTATGCGAAAAAATTCGCTGATCCTGCAACATGACATCGCTACTTTTCTCATCTATAATATCATTCAGCTCTCTATATCTGGCCACCAACAATGGTCAGTCTCAGGCTGAGTACATAGAAAAATGCGGTATCAGGAAGTTGATCTGAAGATACATTGACGTAAGCGAAGTTAAATAATGAACTTCTTACAAAAAGACAACAGCTAACTATCGACAACTTTAGCTAGTATGAAGCAACTTTAGGTAGTCAAAACCTGGCGGCTTAATTCTAAAGCGTCATTTCGAGGACAACCCAGGACAATATATGTTAAATCTACCCCATGTGTCAATTATCTTGGAGAGAATTACGGGTAATGATTGGGTGTTGTTTTGGACGAAAGCCTCTATTTCATAAATAGAAGTTAAGTAGTCGTAGCGTGCGAAGCGCAATTTGTATCACATCATGCGCTAAACCTGCAGACTCTATTCTGAACGATATCGCCCGGACAATAAATCCCTTAACAAGGCATCATTACTAACTTATTGTAAAGCTTCTCTAAAATAATTTTTTCCCTCCTTTAAGTGAAGCAACGGTAAAGCTGTTACTCACGAAATTCGCTTAAATCCCCTAGTCGTTCCAAATAATGTATCTGTTGGGATAAAAAGGACTACGTTTAGAAATCTTCAGAGAAGAGACAATCTTCTCGTATTGCCTCTTTCGATCACTCCACGTTGCCTGCAATCTTGCAATACAACAATCCTATTGATGCTATTATGTTTTCATATAATACACTTTATAATTAGGCTGCAATTTGTTGCCTTTCATTATACTAAGAGCTGCATTTCACCGTGCGTATAGGCTACAGTGCTATCGTTATTTACTAATCATTAAGTACTTGGGCAAAATGTTTTCGTTTGGGTTCTTGAAAAGGCCCGTTTTTCAGATATTAAAACAACTATCAGTTAGATGATAATTGGTCACAGTGATCTTTGCTGAAGACAATTAATAGTCTGAACAAGTCTCTAGGGGATTAGAGGCTAGAATGGCCGCAATATTTATGCGGGTCCTCTTTGGCTCGTACGAACGGAAGTGTGCCAGCAAAGCATACGCGCATCATGGGGGTATTTTGTCCTCCATCTCTCTGTGTGTGTGTATATATATATATATATGCATATACATTGGGGTCCCAGCACCTCGATAACGTCTCGTAGGTGTTTATATGATCTTATTGCAGGCTATGGCACTTGTTCCACCAGAGGTAGCATCAACCTTTTTATCTCTTCTCAATAAAAGGCATTATCGCAAAGAAACGTTGCGGATCTCTTTTATGCCAAAACGGAAGCTACCGCCACCGTTGTGTATTTGTAAAAAAAAAAATGGCGAATATTCAGCGCCCTCTCTTTTTTTCTGTAAGCCAATAGCGATATTAGGGTGTAGGCAACGCTGGACAACCAGCAATGGAGAGTGGAGGCAGCCACAATTAATGGACATGTATGGCCGGATATGGGCGTACAAATGATTCATAAGAGTTCGGTGAGGTATGCGTAAATTCCACGGAACCGACTTCAGAGGCATATGCCGAGAAGTATTGTCAGAGTAAAGGGCGATTTATATTGAAACTATCAAAAATCCGTTTCGACAACTATTTAACGGTCGCTTCGACGGCTTAACGAAGCATTCTCGGTCTGAACTTCATAATGAACATACA